CAAACCAGTGATGAAACTAGTGATTCTACTACCCTCAAAGACTCTCTAGCAGCTACAGCTCAAAGCACTTTAGCTTAGAGTAGCTAGGCTAATGGTGTTATAACATCGAAAAGGGGGTGGGGGGAAGGGGCTTACGAAAGACTAAAAGACAATGATTCTCCAGCTTTGCATCTAAAAAAGTGATATATATGGTGTTATTGCAGATGATCCTTTTGGCAGCTTATAACTAAGGAGGCGGAACACTTGCTAGGTTTAACCCATAACTCTCTTAGAAGAGTTATTACCAGTCTTATTCGAGAGCGCCAGAGCGAAGTCTCATTACAGCCAGAAGGACGCAGTAGAGAAGAAGATCCCCCTTCTTCATATAAGGATGCAGTTGACCAGTGGATTAATATCGTTGATATACGGGCTAATAAGGAATCGATTCGAGATGCAGCAAAAGGGACAAAGGAAGTAGAAACTGAAGCGTCTGTTACATGGCGAACTGCTCAAACTACCTGGTTCTCACATCAAAATCTATCAAACTTAATAGAGTCTTCTATTCCACCTTCTTCTAAGTCAATCCTCTCCGAGTCTATCCTCTCTGATTCTCATATTTCTGAGTCCCCTACACTGTCAACTTTAGCTTCTCAACCAAGACGAAAGCCGAAACAGCGCACTGAAGACCCCCCTCTACCCTCTCATAAAGATGCGATCCTTGAAATAGCTTAGAGTATCACAAGGACTGCTGAGCTTTCTGCAAGCGCTGATGCTGCTAAGCGGTCGAACGCAAAAGCTATTGAGAGTGTTGAATCAAAACTCCAAGAACTATGTGCAGATGTGAGTCAAATACTACATCTATTACAACAGACGCATTAGAGTACAGATGGATAGAAAGGGATATAATAGATATAACGTGCATGTATAACGAAAGTGCCAAACAAGCGAAAGTGCCAAAATCATGCGGTGACCAACCCCCCCAACTAAATGTTAAATTCCTCCACAACAAAACATGCGCCATAAAAATGATGAAAGCAAATTAGTGCTAGCTATCCAAGCTATGCAAAGTGACCCAAATTTGCGCCTTCGAGTTGCAGCTAGGATCTATTCCGTAGACCACCGCAAGCTACGTCACCGTTTACAAGGCGTACCTTCACGACGCGATATCCAAGCCAACTTACGGAAATTAAGTAACTGTCATACTGACATTAGTTGCACTCAGTTTGCTATCAAACTCAAGAGCAAACTTAGAAATCTCCTCCTCAAACCTACAAGTCACCATACATATCTTGGCTTATCACACCAACAACAGAAGCAATACTACTCAACGATTGCTGCAAACTCTTCTACTACATCTGTTTATGCTACATACATCACGGCATATCATTTGAACACTCATTGAACAAGTTATTAAGAAAATCTCCTCCTTAAGGGGGTGGGCCAATACTACCACATGGCATATCTCTACCAACTAGAGGCCTAGGAACATGAACGATAGCTCTAGAAGCTTCTACAACCCTCTATGATTCATTACACGTCATCGCTCCTTAGTTACCCACAAGATTGGTTAAGTTATGACATAATTTATCTATAGGTACTCTGACCTTGGACCTCCTTTTCACTTCCTATAGGCTAGGAACCCAAGAGATGGTTCTATGGGATTCTCTTACGTTCACTACATGATTAGCAAGCTAGTTGTGGGTCGCACTTGATTTCTAATACATTTACCAAGCCTGGTTAGTCATGGAAAGTCATGGAAAATGAGAGAACTACACTCCTTTGGCATAAATAGGATTGCCCTTTCCTTAAGAAAGGGCAAGCAGGCAATACAGTAAATCGACTAGCACATACTTCCACGTCTTTTCCAAGCTTCCAAGCATTGATCTTGTTATTCTCTGTTTTTGAAAAGTCAGTGAGGTGCTAACCTCTGACTTACCCCTGAGTTCTCAGACTCAACATTTGTTGCAACTTGTCTAAACCACTTCACCACATCATACACCTGATTGCTGCGTTGTGGAATAGTCTAAGCTACAACCCTTTGGCTCTGTTTCCTAAGACAGTGTGTTGTCTTAGTAAATTCATCCCTTCCTTGGGTGGCTAGATTCTCATATCTGGTGCACCCACCATTACATCTAGCCACCCAAGGAAGGGATGAATTTACTAAGACAACACACTGTCTTAGGAAACAGAGCCAAAGGGTTGTAGCTTAGACTATTCCACAACGCAGCAATCAGGTGTATGATGTGGTGAAGTGGTTTAGACAAGTTGCAACAAATGTTGAGTCTGAGAACTCAGGGGTAAGTCAGAGGTTAGCACCTCACTGACTTTTCAAAAACAGAGAATAACAAGATCAATGCTTGGAAGCTTGGAAAAGACGTAGAAGTATGTGCTAGTCGATTTACTGTATTGCCTGCTTGCCCTTTCTTAAGGAAAGGGCAATCCTATTTATGCCAAAGGAGTGTAGTTCTCTCATTTTCCATGACTTTCCATGACTAACCAGGCTTGGTAAATGTATTAGAAATCAAGTGCGACCCACAACTAGCTTGCTAATCATGTAGTGAACGTAAGAGAATCCCATAGAACCATCTCTTGGGTTCCTAGCCTATAGGAAGTGAAAAGGAGGTCCAAGGTCAGAGTACCTATAGACAAATTATGTCATAACTTAACCAATCTTGTGGGTAACTAAGGAGCGATGACGTGTAATGAATCATAGAGGGTTGTAGAAGCTTCTAGAGCTATCGTTCATGTTCCTAGGCCTCTAGTTGGTAGAGATATGCCATGTGGTAGTATTGGCCCACCCCCTTAAGGAGGAGATTTTCTTAATAACTTGTTCAATGAGTGTTCAAATGATATGCCGTGATGTATGTAGCATAAACAGATGTAGTAGAAGAGTTTGCAGCAATCGTTGAGTAGTATTGCTTCTGTTGTTGGTGTGATAAGCCAAGATATGTATGGTGACTTGTAGGTTTGAAGAGGAGATTTCTAAGTTTGCTCTTGAGTTTGATAGCAAACTGAGTGCAACGAATGTCAGTATGACACTAGATTCTCATATCTGGTGCACCCACCATTACAGTAACCTAGAAATCAGTTCTTGTTCAGTATATACTTGACTTAGCTGCTAAAGGGTTCCCTCCTCAGTTGTCTATTGTTGAAGATATGGCAAATTGACTACTTGCAACACGTGACGCGCCACGCGTCGGGTCACGTTGGGCTTCAAACTTTGTTAAGCGCCATGTAGAGCTCCGGACACGCTTCCAGCGAAAATACGACTACCAGAGGGCTAAGTGCGAAGATCCAGAAGTCATTCGTGGCTGGTTTGAGCTTGTATGGAACACAATTCTAAAGTATGGCATCAACAATGCAGATATCTACAACTTTGATGAGACTGGGTTTATGATGGGCGTCATCTCAAGCGCAACGGTAGTAACGAGCTCAGATGGGCGGGCAAAGGCAAAAAAGGTGCAGCCTGGCAATCGGGAATGGGTTACAGTAATCCAAGGCGTTAGTTCTCAAGGTTGGGCAGTGCCGCCATTTGTCATTGTGGCAGGTAAAACCCACCTTGCATCTTGGTATGAGAATAGCGGATTTCCAGCAGATTGGGTAATCGCTGTTACTGCAAATGGCTGGACTACAAACGAGAGAGGTATGGATTGGATTCAGCATTTTGAGAAGCACACAAAGCCCCGGAGTGTTGGTGGTTATCGCTTGTTAGTCCTTGATGGTCATGAGAGCCACCACTCAGACAAGTTTGAGGAGTACTGCAAAGAACACAACATTATTACGCTTTGTATGCCTGCTCACTCTTCCCATATACTCCAACCACTTGATGTTGGCTGTTTGGCCCATTAAAGAGAGCTTACGGTCGGCAAATTGAAGATATGATGCGGCTCATATTATTCACATTACGAAGGATGACTTCTTTCCTGCCTTCCACGCTGCATTTAACATTGCAATGACAGAAAGCAATATTCAGGGAGGGTTCCGAGGTGCTGGGCTTCTTCCATTTAGCCCTGAGAGTGTAATATCTACACTTGACCTTAGGTTTAAGACGCCAACACCTCCAACCTCTCGCTCAAACACCGCTCAACCATGGGTTTCTCAGACACCAAATAACCCAACTGAAGCTGTATCACAGTCTACTTTCATTAAAAACCGAATTGCGCATCATCAAAATAGCTCTCCAACCTCAATCTATGCAGCTGTTGACCAGTTTACAAAGGGTGCATCGCAAATAATGCATCAATTAGCATTGTTAAAAGCAGAGAACCAAAACCTGCGACAGGCAAATGAAGTGCTAAGCAAGTGCCGGAGAGCTAAAAAAACACGACTACAGCAAGGAGGATCACTTAGTCAACAGGTAGCACAGGAGCTACAGGACGAGAGGGACGTTGTGCAGCAAGTAGAGCAAGAAATAAGGGCAAGTAGTGGTCGGAAGCCAAGGGAAGAAACCCATGCACGTCGCTGTGGCAAGTGTGGTGAGACTGGACACAATGCGCGCACTTGTCAGATTGTAATAGACAGGTCCGAGGAAGAGGACTCCGAGTAGTTTTAATTAATTTATATTGTTGTGGTGGATTTATCGCAATTCTTATGGGGTAGTCGCGATATTTTGGCACTTTCGCTTGTTTGGCACTTTCGTTATACATGCACGTTACATGTATATAGTTTATAGGGAATCACAGGCGGATCACCATATGTACCTATATACAACGACATCTCCGGCTTCAAATTATCGTATATTACGCTATATACAGCAGCTAACTACTCTAGGCTAAAGCTACACCACATCGCAGCTCGCGAGTGTCCAGTCAGTACAGATCACGTTACTGCGCGTCACTTTCGCCTCACCCACTCCACTCCATCCGCTGTGACGCGCCTCCTATAGCGGAAGAAGCCTAGAAGGTCACTCTCTCACGCCAACAAGAGCTTCATTTGGCTACGAGTACCATCAGCTAGTCTACACCGTAATTGTTAAAGTTATTCTCCTTTGATCACGGCCTCCACCTAGACAAGGGAAGGCCATGTCCAGCCAAAGAGCACCACGGCATATCGATAAGGAGGCACGCGAAGACGATGATCTCCAATATGGCCATGGGCCCTTGAGCAAGGAAGAACTCGAGGCCAAGTGAGTCAAACCCCACCCTCTATGGCCCCCATATTGCGATGAGACCATGCTCACTGGCCATCATCAAGGTATCCAAACCGCCCTCTCAACCAGCACAAGACCCTCCCGTTCCATGAACTCTTGGTCTCCCTCTTCACTCCATTGAGCGAGAACAAGAAGAAGCCAACCGGCCCCTCAGCTGCCGGTCGCGCCAAGCGTGGGCCTCATGGGCCAACCCATCAGTCTCCTCATGGAGTCCGCCGCATCATTATCGAGCGTTTTATTTCTCGGTGGAGGAGCGAGGTCGGCCATGACTTTTATCCTGCATTGCGTCTTATTATTCCCGAGAAAGACCGTGACCGTGCGATGTATGGGCTGAAGGAGAAAACAATCGGCAGGCTACTTGTTAAGCTAATGAAAATCAATAAGAACTCCGAGGATGGCTATAATCTACTCAATTGGAAGCTGCCAGGCCAGACATTCGCAAGTAGGATGGCAGGAGACTTTGCGGGAAGATGCTTTGAGGTACTATCAAAGAGGCCGATGAGGACATCAATGGGCAATATGCGAATTGCGGAGGTCAACCAGCTGTTGGACCAGCTATCTTCCGCGCCTAAAGAGGAGGCGCAGCTACCAATTTTCCAGATATTCTATAATAGGATGAACGCTGATGAGCTGATGTGGTTAATTCGAGTAATCCTCAGGCAGATGAAAGTTGGTGCTTCGGAGAAGACATTCCTTGATTTATGGCACCCAGATGGAGAAACTTTATTCAATGTTTCCTCAAGTCTTCGCCGGGTATGTTGGGAACTCACGGATCCTTCCATCCGCCTAGAAGGAAACGAGACAGGAGTTACGCTCATGCAATGTTTCCAGCCGCAATTAGCTCAGTTCCAAATGCATTCATTTCACAGGATGGTCGACAACATGAGGCCTACCCCGGAAGACACCGAGTTCTGGATTGAGGAGAAGCTGGATGGTGAAAGGATGCAAATGCACATGGTCGAGGATGATTCAGTTCCAGGGGGGAGGAGGTTTGGGTTTTGGTCCCGAAAGGCCAAAGACTACACCTATCTCTATGGCAGTGGGTTCGAGGATGAAAATGGCGCCATAACGAGCCATTTGAAAAAAGCCTTCGATTCGGGTGTTAGAAACTTGATCCTCGACGGCGAAATGATAACCTGGGATCCCGAGGCAGATATAATGGTCCCATTCGGTACTCTTAAAACTGCTGCCCTGTCTGAACAGCGCAACCCATTTGCTGGCAATGGCCCGCGTCCACTCTTCCGAATTTTCGACATCATCTACTTGAATGATGAGCCTCTAACTCAGTATACTCTTCGTGACCGACGCCGAGCTCTCGAAAGATGCATCACGAACGTTCACCGAAGGTTTGAAGTTCATTCTTATAACTCGGCACATTCTGTAGAAGCCATAGAGCCTCTGCTCCGGAAGGTCGTGGCGGAAGCTTCTGAAGGTCTAGTGCTCAAGAATCCTCGCTCCATCTACCGCCTCAACTCGCGTAATGACGACTGGATGAAGGTGAAGCCAGAGTACATGACCGGCTTTGGCGAGTCTCTAGACTGCATCGTCATTGGTGGTTATTATGGCTCCGGGCATCGGGGAGGCCGCCTTTCGAGCTTTCTTTGTGGACTAAGGGTTGATCAAAACCACATACAAAAGGGAGCGGATCCAATGAAGTGTTATTCGTTCTTCAAGGTTGGAGGCGGGTTCAAGGCCGAGGATTACGCCAATATTAGACACCATACAGAGAATAAATGGGTGGATTGGGACCCAAGGAAGCCGCCCATACCCTTAATCGAGCTAGCAGGAGGTGAAGCTCAGTTCGAAAGGCCGGATGTATGGATCAGACCTTGCGACTCAGTAGTTGTATCCGTCAAAGCCGCCTCCGTATGCGCCAGCGACTCGTTCAGGGTGGGTTTGACGCTACGCTTTCCGCGCTTCAAGCACCTACGGATGGACAGGGACTGGAGTACTTCACTGAGTATTCAAGAATTCATAGATTTGAAGTCAAGATTGGAGGATGAAAGCAGAGAAAAGGAATTCACGGTCGACACTCGGCGCAAGGCGGCGAAGACATCTAAGAAGCAACTTCTAGTCGCAGGGAATGATAATAAAGCGACTAAGCCATATGCGGGGCAGGGTTCAGACGCGTTCCATGGCCTAAATTTCTGCGTGCTGAGTGAAGCTACAAAGTTGCCCAAAAAGAGCAAGGTGGAGCTAGAACAGTACATTAAGGCAAATGGCGGCTCCATATTTCAGAGTCCTACGACACAAGCAGATACGATCGTTATTGCAGATAAGAAAGTTGTGAAGGTGGCCAGCTTAATGAAGAGCGGGTTACAGAACGTGGTGAGGCCAAGATGGTTGTTTGATGCCGTTCTGCAGTACGAAGCTGACCCCGGGCGGGAGACGCATTTGGTGCTTTTTGAGCCGCGGCACATGTTTTACACGGTCCAGCATGAGATAGAAAGGGTCCAGCAAAATGTCGATAGGTTTGGTGACAGCTATGCACGCGATGTGGGGGCCACGGAGTTGAAGGAAATATGCGATAATATGCCCAAGGAAGAGCTGGAAAGTGGTCTCGAAACAGACAGACTATTAAGTCAGCTACAGGGGGGGCACCATGATCTCGGATTGAGAGATATGAAGGGCTTCATGTTCTCGGATTTTTGTGCGCATATTGCTGGCTGGCAAAGAAGCGAAGAAGTAGCAGATTTGAGTGAGGACGGTCTACGGTGCTTGTTAGTGGAGCATAAGTTAAGATTCGGATTGGCAAGTATCAAATCGGACTTGGAGGATACAAATATCACACATATCGTTGTGCAGGAGGGTCTTGACAGGTTGAAATCTATCAGGGAGAAAATTTCGCATAGGAGGGTAGTGCCGCGAATTATCACACTCGAGTGGGTTGAGGACAGTTGGAGGGAAGGAACACTTCTGGATGAAGATAGATATGCACCAGGAGGTTAGTTAGGGTTTCGTTTGCCACACCGCCTGGCTGAGATGGTATTCCAAGATCCTACCTGTATCAAGGAACAATCACGAGTAGCGTAGTAGAAAGGGACTAGACGAGTGCTATTCTCAGTTCAGACCAGGTCCAGTACCTCTAAACGCCAATATAATAGCTCACTAACTCAACTCGAGTCTACTTCCCAATAGTCAGGAACAACCTATCACCCACATCTCCGAAGCCTGGACATATCATCCCTTTCTCATTAACATCATTGTCCAACCCCGCAAGCCATATCTCTGTTCCCTCCGGCCATTCCGCTGCTGCTCGCACCACCCCCGGGAGAGCTCCCAAAACAGCCAGCACAATCAATTTCTCAACACCCCATTCTCGTAGCGTTTGAATGGCCGCGGCACATGTACCACCCGTAGCAATGACGGGGTCGAGCAGGATCGCGAGTTTCGAGGAAGATGAGTTGCGAGCTGGAGCTGCCGATGGAGAGCCAGCAGCCGGGATATGGTAGGGCAGATTGTTGTAGTATTCGACGGGGGAGAGGGTGGTGGGCTCGCGGAAAAGCCCGAGGTGGTGGACGGGAACTGGTTCTGGAAGGACGGTTTGGATGGCTTAACGGACGTCAGCATTGAGTAGGATATTAGACTGGATTCAGAGCAGAGAGTGAGACGAACCATCGAGCATGCCAAGACCTGATCTCAGAATTGGGACGAGGGATATTGACTCTGGGGCTACCGTAGATGTGGTATATTCATAGCCAAGAGTGGTTTTCTCCTAACTTCGGTATCAGATATGGGCATAGAATGCAGGACACTCTCCTCATACGCACAATGGGTCCATCCCTCACAGTCAACCCAGCTGCTGTGGCTTCGACCGCTATAATGGTTGATATCTCGTGCAACAAAGCCCTGGTTTCGCGGGCACCGGCTTTGGTCGATCTCAGCTGTGAAAGCTTTGCTTGCACGCATGGATGCCGGGATATGTGGACATTTGTTGGCAAGGAGGTGGCGGACATATTGACAACCACTGAAGTTATAACCACGCGTGTTAGCCATAGTTATAACGGGGAGGTTGGGGAGGGGGTGGATGAGGGCAACAAGGGAGGAGGGAGATATATACCAAAGTAGTAGGTAAGGGAACGGGTTGATTATTAGTAAATTCAACGATTATATATTGGAACGAAGAAAGAACAAATATAATATTCTGGTGCAGGACGAACGAGGTTGAGTAAATATAAGAGTAAGTAGAGTAAGATGGATGGGATGATGAGGAGAGAGCGACTTGTACGGTCTAAGAGTACCGCAGTACTATCTATCACTTATCTCTTTGTACTCGACTTGGAGCAATGGGGACCCAATATAGATGTATACAAATATATACATGTCAGTTAAGTTACTATGGGCTTGGTACAGGGGTAATAACCACAGCAAAAACATGATTTATCACTGCTGATTGTGCAGAATTATGTATAGTATGAACATAGAATTATTGTACTGGTACAAGAAGAAGCATGCGGGGTATGTACTCCTTATCAGCCACCGCATCCTCCGTCATCTTTCTCCCATAGTAAATTACGGCACAGCATACGGAGTACACTATTTACTATTTTACAAGAACGTTGGGGAAATTTAGGAATTATACAGGAATTATAGAGGAATTATACAGGAATTATAAGGAATTATACAGGAATTATAGAGGAATTATAGAGGAATTATAGAGGAATTATACAGGAATTATACAGGAATTATACAGGAATTATACAGGATTATAGAGGAATTATACAGGAATTATACAGGATTATAGAGGAATTATACAGGAATTATACAGGATTATACAGGAATTATACAGGAATTATACAGGAATTATACAGGAATTATACAGGAATTATACAGGAATTATACAGGAATTATACAGGAATTATACAGGAATTATACAGGAATTATACAGGAATTACGTATACAGGAAATAGTTGGAGATCTTATACGGGACATACGGAGTCAGTTTAAGCTCCCCACTCTAGCTTGCCACTAGTTTAGAACGGGAGATACGCCAAAGTAACTCGCTAACTCCGCTGCGCCAAACCCAATCCAACGTCGTCGTCATTATGAAAATAGCTGCCATGGCATAGCAACGTCCAACCTCCATTTCCTACCACTATCCCACAAACTCCTATCGCGAACAGCCACAACCAACCCATACTGTACGACCACATCCTGCACGGCATTGCACACAAACACCAGCCCACACACGCTGTGTCATATAGCTACAGCTGCACCGATGCCCCATCACCACCACCCAACCGCTACAATGTCCCCCCCGCCGCCAACCTCCGAAACAACGCCTCTTCTCCCCTCCACCTCGGCGCCCGAGCCTGCCCCCCGCGAGACGCGCTCTGTAACCTTCAACCCGACGCCCTCTGTGGCCACCATCCCGCCCACGCCCATGCCCATGCTCTCGGCCCTGAACCACCGCCTGCGGCGGCGCAACAGCTCTGGCGCGCCCGCCGGCTACAGCCCCTCGCCGCTGGGTCCCAACCCCATCCCTGCATCAAAGATCGGCCCGCAGCGCACATCGAAAACGGCGCAGAAGTTGAAGTTGCTACCTAATCCCGATTTTGGCGATGAGGGCCCCGATGAGGAGAGTGGGCGTGATGTGTACTCGCAGTACACGCGGATTAAGGACCCGACGGCGCGGAGGGATGCAGCACGGCTGGGGAAGGCGGATCGGGAGCGGCTGCCGCGTGTGACGGCATATTGTACAGCGAATCGATACCGGATGGATAGGTTAATGCAGTTTCTCAAGGGTCGCGGGAAGGGAAGGGGTGCGGCGCCACGGCTGTTTGATGAGTGTATCTACACACCGTATAATTACGGGAAGGCCAGGGTAGGCGGGAAGACAGTGCGGTCTGCACCAGTGAGGGAGGCACCTGCTGAGACGATGGAGCGACGCTATTCGGATTCCGTGGTAGAAGTCGAGGGCCAGCAAGAGGACCTCATCTCCCTCGCAGCCGCAGACGAGGATGTTCCTGACGCACTTCTCCCGCCACCCGCTACGCCGCACGTAGTAGAAGAGGAGGATACACCCGACTTCGACACGACAGTACATGTCCCCGAAATTTTTATATTCGCGTACGGTGTGGTAGTGATCTGGGGGATGAGCGTAGCGCAGGAGCAACGATTCCTGGGAGAGCTGGCGAGGTTTGAGGAGGAGAAGCTGGGGCGCGATGATATAGAGGCAGAGTGCTTCAATTTTTACTACACGCAAGAGTACCAGGCGCGGGTGTACAATGACTTCATTACGCTGAGGGAGAAGACGAATTACATGGTTAAGCTAGCAATTAGCCATGCGCTTGCGCAGAGCGTAAAGGTATGTCCATTCTTATATCATAATATGCCAAGTTAACAACTACACAGACCTCACTTTTTGAGGAGCTTGTCGACAATACTATCACAACTTGCCAGGACATCCCGGCAAGCATCGCGCGTACCGGCACAATCGCGCTCTCGCGAAAAGAGATCAACATGCAGATTGGCGAGCTGTTCATCCTGCGGATTAGCATCCATCTCAACGGCTCCGTACTGGACACACCAGAGCTGTTCTGGGTGGAGCCGCAGCTGGAGCCAGTATACCAGGCAGTGCGAAGCTATCTTGAGATGGACCAGCGGGTACAGCTTCTAACGGAGCGGCTCGACGTCATTGCAGATCTCCTGGCAGTGCTGAAGGAGCAGCTGACCTCTGGGCATGGGGAAATGCTGGAGTGGATTGTGATTGTGCTTATTGCGGCAGAAATTGCGGTAGCGTTGGTAAATATCTTTGTCGATTTACAGGCAGGCGTTGATTAGAGGGTTCATAAAGGCGTTTTATAGACTGGGCTTGTTTCGTAAAGGCGCTTTTTTTAGGTTAACTTATGGACAGGTTTCATATTATATCTCACTGCGTCACAAGTTAACTAACGTAAGCCGTGGTGTATAAACGCCCCATGTACCCTTGCAGCTAAATTTATATGTGAAGGTACTTAAAAATGAAAAGTTCCAGTCTAAATAACTCCTTTAATAAAAGGGCAAAATCTCGATATACCTAGTAAACTAGTAAGAAAACTCCATCTACCCAGTCGGCCGCTAACCCTCCTTTGGAAAGGTTAACGAGCCAATGAGAGGCGTACTCTCATTTGAGAGTACGTGCTCTCATATGGCCTTTTTGAAGCAATTGAGCTAGCAATATACCAGCTCAATTGCACGGTAAGTCGGGGGTCAATTGAGACCCCCAAACTTCCTCCCCCTTCCCTTCCTCCCCCACCACAGAACCCCGCTGACACTCCCAGGCTCCCTCCCCCCTCCGACCCCCTCGAAATCCCCCTCGGAAGCCCTCGCGCGATGGTGGAGGAGGGGAGGAACGGGGCCCGTTGCAACGGGCTCCAGATGTCCTCGCTAATGGAGGCACGGGTAGTCCAGCCAGACGGCAGGATCTACCTCGTTGACCTGACGGCAAGAACAAGTTCTTGCCGTCGATACCAAGAGAATGGCGTGCCTTGTGGGCACACCATGACTCTTATCTTTCAACAAGGGAGTCAATTGACTCCCTTTCTTCCGACAGAGCTGTCTGCTGTGTGCTGGCAGAGGCAGTTGATACTGCCTCTGCCTCCGATCTCTGTCGAGGGTCTTCTCGTAGACCCTAACGCCCCAGGAGAAGTCTGTGCCTCCGGTCACCCAATCCCCTGCGGCCGACCGCGAAAAGAGAGGGTTCGGAGGGAGGATGCCTGGCGTCCTCGAGGACGCTGGGCTCGCCGGGATCACGGAGGACTTCTGCCGCTGTGCCGGACTTGGTCCGCACACGCTTCGGCACCTGCGGCGAGCCTGGGCATAATGCCAGGACTTGCCGCAGGCCTCATAATTGACCCATTCTCATATGAGAACAGGGGGGTTTACGGGGGGTTTACAGCCCGTTCTCATATGAGAACGGGGGGAGTTTCTAGATTGGGCTTGGGCGGGTCACGTGGGATGGAACTGGGTATACAGAATTTATTTATTGTTTTATTGGGTAACGTGGTTGTACACCGAGTCGTGAATGTCACCGAGTCGTGAAACTTTTTTATACCCACCACTGTAAGGTATAATTAAACAACCACAACATGTATTAAAACTAAAACTATTCAGAATCTGATGAGCTAAGTACTTCTATGACCTCCTGACAAGTTCGTTGTAATGGTGGGTGCACCAGATGTGAGAATCTAGCCACCCAAGGAAGGGATGAATTTACTAAGACAACACACTGTCTTAGGAAACAGAGCCAAAGGGTTGTAGCTTAGACTATTCCACAACGCAGCAATCAGGTGTATGATGTGGTGAAGTGGTTTAGACAAGTTGCAACAAATGTTGAGTCTGAGAACTCAGGGGTAAGTCAGAGGTTAACACCTCACTGACTTTTCAGAAACAAGGAGTAACAAGATGAATGCTTGGAAGCTTGTAAAAGACGTGGAAGTATGTGATAGTCGATTTACTGTATTGTCTGCTTGCCCTTTCTTAAGGAAAGGGCAATCCTATTTATGCCAAAGAGTGTAGTTCTCTCATTTTCCATGACTTTCCATGACTAACCAGGCTTGGTAAATGTATTAGAAATCAAGTGCGACCCACAACTAGCTTGCTAATCATGTAGTGAACGTAAGAGAATCCCATAGAACCATCTCTTGGGTTCCTAGCCTATAGGAAGTGAAAAGGAGGTCCAAGGTCAGAGTACCTATAGATAAATTATGTCATAACTTAACCAATCTTGTGGGTAACTAAGGAGCGATGACGTGTAATGAATCATAGAGGGTTGTAGAAGCTTCTAGAGCTATCGTTCATGTTCCTAGGCCTCTAGTTGGTAGAGATATGCCATGTGGTAGTATTGGCCCACCCCCTTAAGGAGGAGATTTTCTTAATAACTTGTTCAATGAGTGTCCAAATGATATGCCGTGATGTATGTAGCATAAACAGATGTAGTAGAAGAGTTTGCAGCAATCGTTGAGTAGTATTGCTTCTGTTGTTGGTGTGATAAGCCAAGATATGTATGGTGACTTGTAGGTTTGAGGAGGAGATTTCTAAGTTTGCTCTTGAGTTTGATAGCAAACTGAGTGCAACGAATGTCAGTATGACAATCCTTACACTTTGCAGACTTATATAACTTCTTTAAGTAGTAGCTCAGATCAGCATGGTCAGCCTTGAGTGCTAAGTGAACAGCCTTCTCATCTTCAGTAAGGTTGGAGACGCAGTTGCGAGCTTTGATAGTATTCGCATTAGTGGAGAGTTCTTCATGTGCCTTGAGTTTCGCAACTAAACACGTGATTAGCAGAAGATCGCCAGAAGTTCTGGCTATAGAATCAAGATAATAAACTTAGTTGAAGTCCTAGTGAAGAGGTAAAGGCTCAAAAGGGAAGAAGAATGTGTAGATCGGAGAGTAACCAAGGAAGGTGGTTTTAAGGTCGTGGTTATTTTAAAGTTGCAAACAAAAATATTTGTGAAGGAATATTCACCTACAAAGAATTACTGTTCCAAAAACAACACCACAATGCGCACCTTCATATAAAACACATACCTTTCAACCTCTACCTCTTTTCTATACTCTTCTTCTGCAATATTCTTTCTACAAACTCACTGTAAGTACACATATCTTTTGATCTACTTCTTTGTCTTGTGTTTACTTTACTAACTTACTTTGATATTAGCAAATGGCTCGTACCAAGCAAACTGCTAGGAGATCAACTGGCGGCATAGCACCAAGGATGCCACTTGGATTACGGGCTGGCTCTGGGCTTGGCGGAAAGGAAAGGAAAAGGCTGTGGGCACAGCAAGAAAAGCTCCAGTTCGCTCATCTCAAGCTAGCAACAATCATGCTCAGAAGGCCACGCGCTGCACAAAGTCTGGTAAGAGGATTACCAGAGGATTACCAGAGGATTACCAGAACTCTCTAATAAACATATAGGCACCAAGGCTCTCCGCGATATCAGAAGACAGCAACTTGATACTAGCCTAATTATTCCAAAGCTCCCATTCCAGCGTCTTGTTAGGGAAATCACAGAAGACTTCAAGTCCAATCTTCGCTTCCAGCAATCTGCTATCCTAGCTCTTTAGGAAGCTGCTGAATGCTTCCTCATTCAAGAATTTGAGAGTATGATGTTTAAACATAGTGACAGGGACATACTAACAGTTATAGTGACAAACCTCCTCGCTATTCATGTGAAGAGAGTGACAATTCAGGCAAAGGGTATGATATTGGTTCGGTGTTCGCAGGATATGATGTTTAATCATAGAGCTGTGGGCTTAATCGATGGAAATGTCTCTCACCCAGGAATGAAGGTCAGATGAGTTCTGGCAACCTTCTGGTAACCTGGTACCTAAAGGCCAAAGGTTATAGTGTGGAATAGGACATCAACAATATGGGAATGGAGTTATGGAGTTATGGCGTCTTGATCAATGAAGTCGCACCCCGTTTTTAACATAAGTAATGGCTAATCAAACACGTGATATAACTGTTGCCAAGACCCATACTAGGTACTCAGCAAGTGAGTAATCCTCATTCAACAATACTCGGGACATGAGTGAGTAACTCAGCTGGGTGAGTAAAAATTCTACTACTCGACTCGTGAGTACCCAGTGCGCAGCCTACCCATCCTAGCCACGGGTGTATTCTTCTGTGAGTATTTATATACAGCTGCATATTATAAAATAGCCATCTCTCCTCCTCATTTCACATTCTTTCTTTACCACCTTTCCTTCTGCCTTCCCTTCCATCTTCCTGATCTTTTGCTCCTAACTTTTGCTCCCTTCATTTGCACCATATTTTCGTCCCACATTACCCTATCTTTAGTTTCTGCAAGGTAGTGGGATTCTACGGGCCATGAGCATCAAGCCAGCAAAAACAGGATGGGAACGGTCAAATTCAGACGAGCGGATGGAGGCAGCCCTAAGGGGAGGACTCGCCGAAAACAGCTGTGATCGACAGCAAACCCAGTTTATAGAAAACTTGCTCAAACCAGTGAACTGGTGTACAATAGTATTTTTGATTTTTGGAAAGCGTAAGTTATTAATATCAGACTTAAGTTAGGCATAGCTATTACTAACAAATCCCAGGTATGAGAGAAGATATCCAGGGGCCGATCCACACACTATGCAATGCATGAAGCATATCGCTGAGGCAATTGGGCGTTCAACCCCTGGTAGGCTAAATAAAGAAGGAATGCCAACTGTTAAATCAGTACGGATTAAAATCCAGACATTTATGTCAGAATGGCAGCGGAAGACCCACCTATCTACTCCTCAAGACGTCTGTGACTCGATGGCTCCGGTAAGTCTGCTACAAGTACAAGCACTATCCCATGATGTTCTTTCTAATGAGTAGATAGTACATTGAAGATGTTCTTAGATACGAGATCCCTCTGTCAATAGAGGAGAAAGCACCTACATTTTTAACTATACAAAACTACCTCGAAATGGAAAAGCTATTATGGCGGGGGGATATAAAGCGTAAGCCCAAGGTCTCACAAGAGTCCAGGGAACCAGGTCAAGAGGCAGGAAAGGGGTATCGTATTCGTAAGGACAATAGGTCTACGTAAATACAGCGACTATTGACTGGAGGCCTTCTTCTGAGGCCTCCAACCCCTTTTATCTATGCACCTTGTCCCCTACTTTACCGAGCCCTATGGGCCCCTAATGAAAGGGACCTCACGTGGTGGCACGTGATGTCCTTCCTTACAGGGGACCACCGTAATTACATTCACGAAGGCTCCCGTGTAGATGTGAGTGCTCTATTGAAGATGCACTGCTATACCTCAGCAAGGTTACAGGAAATATGCAAGGCGAAGTATAAGGTCAGCATTATGGCTAAGTGCTAGTGCTATGGCTAGCGCTTACGGCTGCAACCTCATGTGATGGATAACATTGGATATCATGGATATTATGTTATCCAGGTTATCCACGGGGATCCACGGAATGTCATGTGATGGATAACATTGGATATCATGGATATTATGTTATCTATGTTATCCACGGGGATCCACAGAATATCAGGTGATGGATAACATTGGATATCATGGATATTATGTTATCCATGTTATCCACAGATATCCCTTTGGCATGACGCCACTATATAAGTAGATAGTATTTCCTTAGATAGGAGCTTCGTGCTCAACTCAATATAGTATTCTTTACAATACTGTAACATGTTACTTGAAAAGCCTTTGTGTCTAATCCCCTGCCTCCTCTGTCAAGTCAACCTTACACAAGAAACCTCTGTGTAACGCTGACTTCTAAACGATAGAAGACACAGAGGTTCTCTTGCGTAAAGGTTTACTTATCAGAGGAGGCAGGGGATCAGACACAAAGGCTTCAAGTAACACGTTACTAGTATATAACAAATACTGTATTGAGTTGAGCACGAAGCTCCTATCTAAGGAAATACTATCTACTTATATAGTGGCGTCGTGCCTAGTGGACTCTTGGGAACTCACTTGAGTCCTCGGAGTCCTGGACTCTTAGGACTCTTCTCATCATCCTGCGAGTCCATCACGTGCCTAGTGGACTCCTGGGAACTCACTCGAGTCCTCGGAGTCCTGGACTCTTAGGACTCTTCTCATCATCCTGCGAGTCCATCACGTGATACTTTCGGAACTACTATTCCCCGCTGCCCCTCCAGGTACCAGGGCCGGTCTCATGCGACCTCCCTCCTTCCTGTCCTGTAGTTGGCCAGCCTTCTTGTTCCGTCGTAACACTCTGTGTCTTCTATCATTTAGAAGTCAGCGTTACAGTCAGATACACATTTGAAGTGAACATAAGAGGACA